GGCAGCTCGGAGTGGGGAGCCCGGCTGAGCCCCGGGACACCCAGCGTGGGTGGTGGGGGTCACTATTTCTTTGAGAGGACCCTGGGGGGGGTGGGGGGCAATTTACAGCCTCGATGTCTGGCGGGGGGCATCCCCCATACCTTCCAGCTCATGGCCAGGGCGTCCCCGGGAAGGCAGGGGACACCTGCTCTGAGCTTGGCTTCTGGAAAGGCACACACCAAAATGTGTATGTGTATATATATATATTTTTTATATATATATATATTTCTATTTATATATATAAAATGGGACAGGGCTGCTGGGTGGGGTGGGTAGGGGGAGAGCTGCAGAAATTGCTACCTGCAGCCACACGTCTCCACGACCATGTCCTCGTACTGTTTGTAAACCACATTGTTCCCGGAGTCTATGTAGAGGATGCTGATGGGGCTGAGCTTGGAGGGCACGCAGCAGCTGGGGGGGGTGGACTCTGGGTCCATGGAGTTCATCAGGGTCTGGATGATGGCGTGGTTGGTGGGTTCCAGGTGGGAGCGCAGGGGGAAGTCGCAGACCCCCTCGCAGTGGTACGCCTCATAATCCAGGGGGGCGATTATCCAGTCGTCCCAGCCCAGCTCCTTGAAGTTCACGTGCAGGGGCTTCCTGCTGCAGCGGGTCTTCCCCTTCTTCCCGTGGCCTTTGCCCCCAGACCGGGCGGCGATGGTGGTCCGTCTCTTCCTCCGCTTGGTGTACGCCTCCTGGCCCGGATCGGGGGGCTCCAGGAAGGGGGGGCTGCCCAGAGCCCTGATCTTATCCCGGATCTCCTTGAAGAGGTTCTCCTTCCTCTGGGTGCGGGAGAAGGCCACGAGAAGGGCTCTCTCGTGGGGCTGTGGCCGGGGCTTGCTGAACCCCAGCTGCCGGGGGGGCAGGAGCCGCCCCGACTGATCCGAGACGATCCTCAGGAGGAAGCACAGCAACTTGCCCGAGAGGGACCTCTCCCTCCGATCCCGCAGGGCTTCCCAGACATCAAACACCTCCCATCTGGAGGAGCTGGCGTCCAAAATGTCTGCAGCCCTGGAGTCCAGCAGCCGGGGTTCCTCGCCGTCCCGGCTTGGGCAGGTGGAGAGGAGGAGGTGGTGGAAGGTGCCTTCAGGGGACAGGGCCAAGCTCCGGTTTTCAGGGAGGGCGCGCAGGACCCGCAGCTCCGCACCCGTCACCTCTTCCGCCTCGGGCAGGCTGGAGATGTCAAAGAGGTATCGCTGCTCGAGGGTGGACGGGGAGGCATCTGGAAGAGATAAAACAAAAAAAAATAAAATAAAAATAAAAAAAAATAAAAGGAGAAAAATAAAAACGCAGCAAGCTGAAGCCAAGTTCTCGCTACAGAGGCGCAAGGGACTCAGAGCTAACGGGGGAGATCATCACTTTGCCACGAGGCTCGCTGAGCATCCCAGCGGGGACACAGCCTGTGTGCCCTGTGCCCAGGAGCGTCACCCTGGCTGGAGGCACTGAAAAAAAATGGGGAGGAGAAGGTGGAGAGGGAGGGAGTAATCAGTTCAAACAAGTGGCCTCTCATCAGCGTTCTTCTCCAAGTCCCGACGTGGCTCCTCTGCCTCCTCCCGAGTGTTTCAGATCCCCCAGCTGCATCACTATCCTATTTTGGCACAGAAGCCCCATCTGAACCTGCACGGCACGGTCCCATCCCCAATCAGCAGGCTGTCACCAATTTCTTCTGCCCTGTTCCCTCCACTCTCCCCCAACCCCAGCCATTGCAAGTAAAATTCTGTGAAAAATCTCATTTTCCCTCGCAAGCAGGCGCAGGCACACGTCAGGGACGCAGACGCTGTGCCTCGGGGTGTCTGACAGAGGCACTCCCAGAAGCTGAAAGTGAGCCCAGCTTCAATTTGTCACTATTTTTGGTGGATCCAAAGCCCAAACAGAGACTTGCGCAGTTTCTGGCACTGATTAAATATACTCAATGTGAATTAAAAAAAAAAAAAAGAAAGAAACAAAAAACAAAGCCAACCAAAAAAAAAAAAAACCAACAAAGGAGGTGGGGTTGGGGAGAAGAAATGAATGAGTTCTGGGAAGATTGTTTTTTCCTTTTCTGCCTCTCTAACAAGAAACCGGAGCTGGGCACGCTGCAAACATTGCTGCTGTGCCCGAGCCCCCAGCAGAGTCCTGCCCTG